CAATTACTTTTAGCACAGTGATTATAGTTTTAAAAAGCCATAATTTAGCTGAAAAACTAAACAAGGCAGGTAACTGCTATCTCAGTATAGCATTTTTCAAAGCTAATGAATGGTATCAGAGGACAGCTGATCGAAGAAAAGCAATTTTTAATGTCACAAAATAGGCATCCTTTTTCCTGGAAAAACCTTGTGAATCAATCTACTGAACCTAAAATATTCTCAAAAATGGCCGTTTGCACAATAAGGGCAGAGGGACTATCATCTTCATTAGAAATCATATTTTTTATGATACTATCATCCTAAAGCTGACTTCAGTAGAAGCCACCAGCAGCAAAAATATTGGCAAAATAACACTTCCCTTTACATCCTTGCAGTCTATAATACCTGTGTAAATACTCGAGATCTTGATTTGATGAGCCTTGGTCCCAACACCATTACTGCCAGTGATTTGAAAGTGAAACACGAACTTTAGAATTCCTTCATTTCAAACAATAGTAGTAGTAGTAGTAGTAATGGAGGACGTGGGCACCATCCCTCTACCATCATGGTTAATAGGTTCTGCCCACCTCCGCCCTTGTCTAGTATTTATTAATAATTATAAAATTTTTACATTGCCATACATTGTGGCTGATTTACAAATAAAGTGTATACAATAATTGCATTCACATTATTAACATAACTTATTACATAAATTTTGGTTGGAGAATTTTTTCTAATGAATTTCTTTCTTTTGTAATTTTTTAAACAGTCTATATATTATTTCTTTATCGTGCAGTTTCTCTTTTGTTATTTGCACCCTTTCAACTAGAATGTTGTCTAAGTCGTCTTGCAAAATTCCTTTCACTTTGCTGCAGTTCTTTCATGAGTTTCTCAGTTTCAAGGTTTCTATTGTATTCCTCATATTATACCTTATATATTGTGCTAATGTTTTCCAGAATAGTACTTTTTCTTTCAAAATTTTTTCGTCTTTTCCTTTTGTGTGTCACAGAATCCTATCTCTCATTGATCCCACCGAATCAAACCTGATTTTCAAGTTTATAATACATTTATGACAATTTAACTACCAATGTGTCATGTCTTCATAATTGCGAAAAGTCAGTATTTATTTATCGTAATTTGAATGCATGTACATTTTAAATACATGTAAGATATTTTTTACTAGAAATTAATCACTTTTTCAAATGATAAGCACTGCTGTTATTTGCTTTACTCTATTATAGATTGCATTTTATTATACTATGACAGTTTTATTATAACTTTTTATATGAAATTATATTACTTGATATAAATCTGTGCCCAATTTTGTTAGCATGTCCATTGTTTTTGTGTTTTTTTTGCACTGTGTATTTTTGGTTTTACTAATGTGCTGCTGTATCATTAGCGATGTCATCTTCTGGGAATACTGTATCTAAAATTTGATTGATAGTTACATCTGAAAGACTGGAACCTTAGGAAATTCTTGGTTGAAGAACTGGTGCAATTTTACGATGCAGACCATATACATTTTAATTTTTGGTACAAAATTGATGACAGGAGTTATTTTTTGCATGCAGAATCATTCGCTTGTAAAGTGCCTTTTCTCTTTGATAAATTTGCAATACATTTGATTGGGCCATGTACAGTCTTTCAGACTTGAATTTACGCGCGAGAGTTCTGCATTTCTTTTGTCCACCATTTTAGTGATTGCAACTATTTTGGATGACGCTGGGGAAGGATTTCATTGTAAGTATCTCGTATATCAGTTTTGTATATCAGTTAGTAATAGCTCCATGAGGTTTTCAAGTTCTTCTGGTGACTGGACGTGGATAAGATGCTGTTCATTTCAAACAATAACAGAAATATTTTATATCATCAGCATGCTAGTACCAACTTCTCTAGCATCACAGGTCCCACAGCTTCCACCCAACACCAGAGGCGGCATGGACATTTCTGATATCTTGATTGCAAATTAACACTCCTACAATCCAGATCTACCAGTCACCAACAGGCTCTCCAGTGACCACTTCCCAGTTCTCTTCACTCACTGTAATTTTCACTCCGGACTCCAGTTCTACCCTGTCAAAGTCAACTGTAGATACTATTGAACCAATCTTTTGATAAAAGTCTCAAAGCCTTGTAGAAATTGATACTGCCACAGAATACTTACAAAACAAAATCTCTGAAAGTATCAAGAAGAGCTCCTTCATCATCAAGCAACCCAATTTTAAACTCTCTGATAACATCTTGAGAAAATTTGAGGAGGAAAATAAGCTCTGTAAAATTTACACTCGAATGTGCTACCTCATCATCAAATTTAAATTTAATGCTGCCATTCATAACATCAAGCGATTTTACTATGACAACAATAATGAAAAATGGACTGAGTATCTCCATAACATTTCTTGCACTGATTACTCGATCTGAAAACTAATAAGAAGCACACACACACACACAACACACACACACAAAAAAAAAAAAAAAAAAAAAAAAAAAAAAAAACAGCATCATTTATGACAATTTTTGTTATCTCTACGGCTAAAAGAATATTTGTGAAAATAAAAACAGATTATTTTGCACAAGTCTGTGAGTGGCTATTGGCCTTGAACAAAGCTCAGATGGCATAAATTTACAAGTGTTGGAGAAAAAAAACTTTAACAGGATATTGAGGTATTTAATTTTTGAATTTAATAGTTAAAAATATTACTTTGTTTTTTGTGTACCACCTGTTTTTCTCTAGTATACCATCAGTTGAGTATCATTGATATAGACAATGATCGGCAGATGTCATGATGAGAGTTTTTATCAAGGGGTAGCGAGTAGTTTGATTGAATACAGAAGAGCACATTATGCACTATCAGTACTTCTCTATTAACAGGAAATATAAATATAGGCAAAATATCTAATCAGAGATTGAAATGGCAACCCTAATGAAATATACATCTTCATGAAAAGAATGACTGTTTTGTTAAAATCAAAATAAATACAAAAAATGAAGACAAATACAGAAATTTTCAAATAAGAACTCATGCAATTAATCTGTGGTTTTATACAATGGTCCATTTTTTAGTTTCAATTGACATAACCCCATCAATATGAGCTCCTGCAGCCAAAGGAAGTAAATTAATTAGCCACTGAAAAAAAAGCACATGAACTTTCAACTCAACATCTACTCTGTACATTTCTGTGATACAATGATTTCTGTGACAACAATTTTTTCTATCAACTCTTCTGGCAGTGTCATTTTAGAGCTTCAGTGCTAATAATATACAATTTTGTTTTGTGGTTTTATGAACAATCTTTAAGAATGAATAACACATTTTTTCTTGGAAAAATGTAACCATGATTCTTCATAGTTGGTAATTTCCAAATTGTACTATCCATATTGATTCTCTCTCTTTTTTAACAGCATTTCAACAAAAAGGCAACTGAAAATGTTGAAAGGAAAATTACTCAGCTGATGTTCATTCCCTCTGTTGATTCTTATGGACATAACTGCTTGAGGGGATAAATTAAAAGGCTAACACAACTGACGTACAATTTTGACTGATATGCCATTAATAAAAAATTACCAGTCTATCAGCCCAAGAGAAGGTACAATTTTGTAGAGAGATGCCTAAGGGAACTAACTCCTGTTTAGGTTACACATGCAAGAAGCACAAAAGCCTGCATACAAAACAAACTTCCATTCCCTGGGATTCAAACCTGGATAAACTACTAGTGTTTCAACAGACTTATTCACTTAGCCAAGGGCAGGTTTTTTATGATAATAAATGTTATAAAAATTCAGGGAAAATTTAATTTTACAGAAATTTTCAATGCTGTTTGTATTATGTACATTTTAGGCAGTTTATAGCAAATAGCAAATAAAAGGCTAATACAGTCAGTACAAGTTCTACCTAAAATATATTCAAAAGCAACAATTATTTAATACAGGATATTATTAAACTTCATCCAAAAGAACAGAAAAATTATGTAACTATTTTATAAAAAAGTTACTTCGATAATTTATTTAATAGATTTTTATAAGTAAAGCATTTATTTCAGTTACTAAAGTGGAACAGATACTAAAAATAATTTCTTTCAACAAAACCAAAATACAGTACATCTTTCATATTAAAATGTGACTGAATTAAAGATTAATTTTTTCACTTTGGTACCACCAATGGGGAGGACTCTGATTCTTATTTTAAAAAAAAAATAAATAAAATGGTAAACTATACAGGGTGAATCTGAACATGTGGGTAAAACTTGAGAAAGTGATAGAAGGCAGCTATATGAGCCTTCTATCCTGGCATGAAATGGGAAATGGAGTCTTTGCAAATGTGCATCAGTCCCTATCGCGCAGGTATGAAGCCTGCATTACAGTAATTTCTTTGGAGCACGTACATCAATTACATCCCTGATAATAAAATGTTTTCTGAAGTATGTCCTCTCATTGTGTTAATTCTTTAAATGTGACAGTGAAGAACTACCCTTTAACTTCTCACCCCTTGCATTCTGACCACACATTCTATGACGAATATTGCTCATATAGCTGCCTTCTATCATGCTCTAAAGTTTTGCCCACTTGTTCAGATTCACCCTGTATTATCAAATACAAATTTTGCAACTTTGATTTGTTAGCAATAATAAAACATCGATTTAAACTAATAATAAGAATAAAACATCAATTAAATCGATAGTTTATGACAATGCACGGACTGGATTTACAAAATATTCAGCACTAATAAATTCATGTACTGTATATCCATTTTCTAAGATTACCTCCTCATGATAGTTATGTTTTTATATAACAAATTAATTTAGAAGTAATGAAAGCTTGGTGAGTTTGTCTCTGTAAAATTCAGATGCTCTAATTAAAAGTGAAATTAAATTTCAAATTAAGCTTTGGTGTGTAAAAAGCATCATTTTTTAAAGAAACACAAAATTTTTAAAAGAATTAGCCTTTATTTTAATATAAAGATGGAAACTACAGCTAAAACAAATAATAACTAAAAATTTCATCAATAAAAAGTACTTACAAGGACTTGGCTGATTACTTTCTGTACACCTTACACTTTCAGCCCACATCTTTTCACAAATGCGAGAAGCATCTAAAATAGAAATTACCATAAGAAAAATGTATCAAATACTTAATGTTCTAAAATACATTGTTAGAGACTATTCTGCATGTAAAGTTTTCTCTTCACAACAGCTATCTTCCAGAAGAAAAATGCAAAAATTTTATTCAAAACAAAAATTTAAAAAAATAAATAAATAAATAAATAAAATAAAAAAAAATAACACAAATATACCATATTCCCAGCAACATTCTTTGAGAAGGAGGGGAGGCATTACTATAAAACTCTTTTATAATGTTTGATATACCACTCTAAAAAATCCCCATTTGAAAACTAGCAGTAACATAGCTGCAAATAATACTGTACTTCAAATGAAAGCCATATTTTCTTCTATTTTTTAAATGAAAAATAAAGGCAAGGCTTAAATTCAAAATGAGCATTTTAATATTTTATTTCTGCTGACCTGCACTCCACACTGTTGTTTTTAAAAATGTCACATAAATACTGAATTAAATGACACTAATGATATATTGTGGAGCAATAAAGATGATAATTTAATGTCCGAAAACAAAACATTTCAAAATGACAGTGTGATAAGGTCGCATAAATCTACGACGAATGATTTCAAACTGCAAATTTAGAGTGCAATATACGTGAAGAAATCACGGGACAAATAAATTATTTAATGTTATTAAAATAATATTAAGTTGTAAAAAAAAATAGTTGTTTATTAAAATATAAATGCTGAATGTTAAAACGCAGGCTCGAGACCACGTATGGCTCCGCACGATTTGATGTATAAAATTTGATTTTTGAAAAGATAAGTTTTTCTCTTCAGAATTGTATTAGAATTTTTTCGCATCAATAAATTTTTTACGCTGTGTTCGTTTTCAACCTGATGTCACAACCTAGGTTCGCATAGCGGTTCGGCCACTACACCACAGCAGTAAATATTAAAAATTTGTGGCAGCTTTTAGGGATTGTCCCTGAGAGTAAAATTAGGAACGAACTTTTTCGCCTGTGAACATTGAGTTTTATGTGAACAGTCAAGACTTTCTTCTCTTCAAGAACGATCTAATTTTACGTGCAAGGATAGTTCGTGTGGTGAAGCCTCTTCAGTGACAAGTGACAGTGTGCCAGAAGGGAATGTGAACAAGAGAGAGCAGAGCGGGAACGTGAACAAGAGAGAGCAGAACGGGAACGTGAACAAGAGAGAGCGGAATGGGAGCGGGAGTGAGTTGTTGAATTGGAAAGGTTAAAACTGATGAATGTGGTTCAATAGGCTAGCTTCACGGTTTCGAAAGTTGAACAATCTAGAGAAAAAAAGGTTAATTTGAAAGATCTAGTACCGCGTTTTGAACCGAGAATAGTAATATAATATTCATTATTCTTTATGCTATTTGAGAAACAAGCTAAAAAAGAGAACGTTAATGAGATTGATTGGGTCTCACAATTAATTCCTTTATTACCTCACGATGTAGCCCAGTTAATAGTGAAAGAACCAGCGAATAAAGAGGATGATTATCAGCATGTTAAGAAATTACTCATGCAGAGATTCAAGCTTAGTTCTTGGGCACTAAAAACAAAATTTGAAGAACATTCTAGAAAAAACGGAATGTTATGGGTGGATTTAGTGTATGAATTGAGAGTGTATTTAGAGAATTGGTTGGATTCAGTAGAAGTTCAAGATTTTGGAAAGTCTTAAGGAACTATGCTCACTGAGCAATTAAGCGGCGAGTCCCTCTAGAAATAAGAGGCACTACTTAAGACAATTGGGAAGAATTTAAAACAGCTTCCATTTTAGCAGAGAATGCGACAAGTATGAGGCTTTGCGAAGAGATACGAGGAAGTTAGAACAGAGAATAAGGGTTTTAAAGAAACCATTTGAGAAAGATAGAGAGCGGTATATAAAATTCTAACTGTAGTTATAATCAGAAAGTAGTGGTCATCAAAGAATTAAATCAGAGGAGCATAGAAAAGAGGAGGCTCCTAAAAAAAGGCAAGTTTTCAATGAAGCAGGTTTCAAGAAACAGCGGAAAATAAGGTGTTACCAATGTGGAAAGGATGGACATATCCGACCTAACTGTCCATCGCTGGAAAAGAATAAGGCTAATCTGGTGAATAATCTAGGAACAGAGAGTTTACGAAAATGTTTCGAGCCGTATTTCAAGAAAGCAGTAATTAATGGGACAGAGAGAGAATATCTGAGAGATACTGGAGCTGGTATAGATCTGTGTAATAGTACTTGGATTAATACTAGTGACTTATTAGGGGAAACTGTACAGGTAAAACAGCCTTTGGACACAGAATGTAAATGTTTACCTTAGGCGAAAGTCACCATTGAAGGTGATTTTGGTGTGGTCACCACAAAGGCAGCGGTTACTCCGGTAGAGTTAGATAAAGAGTACTATTGTTAGGGAATAAAACTGCACAGTTGATTGAGGAAATTAGGGAACGACCGTTCTCTTGAATTGCTGTGGAGACTCGTAGTCAGGCGCATGCGTGCAGGAGTTTAGAGAGAGCGAGTGCAGAAGACTTAGATTCCTGATCGGAAGAAAAGAAATAGATAGAAAGTGAAAGGGCCATCAATAATGAGCATTCGGAAGAAAGGAAGTTAACCAGTTAAAAGGCAATTAAATTGCCGCTAAAGAAAGGTTTCCTTGTGAGTTTTGCCAGCAGAATTCCCAAAAAACTGTGTTTAACGACCTGTGAGAAAGGGGAAAGTGAGAATGAAAAAGAGTTTATGATTGTCAAGGAGAGACTAGTCAGAGTGACAGGTTCTAAAAAGGGGGAAGAAAAGCGTCAGCTGTGTGTGCTCTCATTTTTAGGAAAGGGATCTTAAAGTTATGCCACGAGGGAATCTCTGTTCATTTAGGGGTAACAAAAACCAAGGATAGAGTTTTTGACACACTATTCTGGCCTAATTGCTACCAGGAAATTGAAGAATTTGTGAGGACGTGTGATATTTGTCAGCGTGTAGGTCACAATAAGGATAAAAGAAAGCCCACATGAAGATTGTGCCTGTTATATCAGAAGTGTTTAGCAGATTAAATATTGATGCAGTAGGACCTCTGATCGCTATTTCGCATGAAAATAAATACTTAATTACGTCTATTTGTGTTGCTTCCAAATATCCAGATGCCATTCCTGTACAGAATTTAAACTCTAAATGTGTGATTCAAGCCTTGATACAAATCTAGATCAGGTTACCCTAAGGAAATTCAGTGTGATTTGGGTAGATTGTTCACCAGTGAACTTACATCTGAGTTTTTTAGTAAGTTTGGAATTAAGGTGTATCATTCTTCTGTGTGTCCCCCTCAAAGCAATTCTGTTGAAAGGTTGCATTCCACCTTGAAAAGGGTATTGAAGGCTTTGTGCTTGGAAAGCGGGAAGGATGTTTGCCATGTGCTTTGTTTGCCCTCAGAACTGTTAGCCATGAGAGCACAGGTTTTAGTCCCTGTAAGTTAGTACATGGAAAAAATTTGAGAATGCCTCAAACAATTGTGTATGAAAACTGGCTAGAGGAAGAAAGTTCAGACCCCACTGTCGTCGAGTATACTCTAGACTTAATAAACAGATTAAAGAAGTGTCAGGAGCTGGCTGTCGAGAGGATGAAAGAGTGTCAGTGTAAAAGCAAACTCTGGTATGATCGCAACGCTGTTACGAAAATGTTTAAGGTCGGAGATCTCGTACTTGTTTTAGCCACATCTAAACCACAAAAAATGGCTGTAAACTGGATAGAGCCAGGTAAAGTAACTAGTGTAATTTCCGAAACCAATTTTACCGTAGAGATTCCGGGTAAGTGTAGCAGTGACACCATTTATCACGTAAATTCGATGAAACCTTATTATCAGCGCCCCGAGTTTATAAATCTTGTGATGGAGGAGGTCATAGAAGATATTGAGGGAGAAGTGGCTATTCCTTATCCCTTGGCTGATCCAACTCAGGTAGATTTTTGGAAAATAGTTGGAGATAGTAAGCTAGAAGAAAGAGCTTCGGCAGAGGAAATAGGAAATTCCAAGAAGTTATAAGGAAGTATGGAGCGGTGTTTTCATCTGACCACGGCTGTACGTTTTTGGTCGAAATGGATATTAAATTGTTGGATGAGACTCCGGTTAGAGTCAGGCCTTATCGAATGTCGGCGAGACAATCCGACATCCTAAAAGAGGAAATTAGGCGGTTGCTTGAGTTAGGAGTCATAGAAGTCGCGCAATCTGATTATGCTTCGCCTATGATCTTAGCAGAGGTCCCTGGTAAAGATCCTCATCCTTGTATAGACCACAGAAAATTAAATTAAAAAATTATGACCGAATTTTTCCCTCTTCCCAATATTGAAGAAGTGGTAGAAAAAGTCAGCGCAGCTCCATTTATCATAATCATGGATCTAACCAAAGGATACTTCCAGATACCACTCACAGAGCGTGCACGGAGGTATGCCGCATTTGTGACGCCTTTTGGATCTTTCATCCCGAAGAAAATGATGTTTGGATTTTAAATGCGCCTTTCTATTTTTGTAAATTGATCGCTCAAGTTTTAGGAGGGCTGGACAATTTTGTTCTACCGTATATTGACGACATCGCAGTCTTTTCGCCGACTTGAGACAGGCATATGAAGGATTTGGATGTGGTTTTAAATCGCCTTCAGAAGGCTAAATTGACTGTTAAGCCCTCGAAATGCAAATTCGCACAAGACCATGTGAAATTTCTGGGTCATGAAGTAGGGTCTGGGAAAAGGTCGCCTAGTGAGGCCAAGATTCAAGCAATCAGAGATTTTCCGATCCCCACTACTAAAACACAGATTTTATCTTGCTATTTCTAATATAATAGATCATTTTACCAACCAAATGTACAAAATTCATATTTATACAAAAATGAAATCTTTGTGTAAACATTTGAAACATCAAACTTTTCTATGATTTTTTTTAAATGCTTTTATACATTTTGATCAGCTTCACACACTGCAATGGACGTGTTTCAATATATTATAGAGGTTTTCCCTTTTTAATATTATTTATGTTTCAATTTATTTCTATAAATATTTCAGACAGAAAAGTACATAATTCTTCATACATTTAATTTAAATGGAATTAAATAACAGATACTTTTCTGTTATTGGGATCAGATTCAGAAATGTATGTATGTACGTATATGTGTGCATAAATACATGTATGAACTTGTATACACGCATACATGAACACATATATACATTTCTGAATCCAGTTCCAATAACAAAACACTACCGTAACATGATTCATATGTAATATTAGCTGTTTCTAGCATAACGTTTATAATGTAAATATAGTGACTTCCACAAATTTATTTCAGGTTTTAAAAATATGATACAATTCACAACAAGGTTTGTTTTTTAAGTCTCACAATAGAATTTATAATAGGGAAATCTACAGCATCTCTATTCATAAATATTTATATACACATACACAACATAACGATGAAAAATGGCAAATTGATCATTTGTTCTAAAGAGGTGTTCAACTTACACATATTCCAGCATATTTTAAATCCATTTTCATTCTAAACATTACTGCACATAAATGTCACAAGACAAATTCGTAACACTAAGAACTGGGTATTTACATATTAATGCAACTTCCCTGGCATAATTTGGTTATTTTCTGCAAGATGGAAAGCTAACAGTTACTTATTGGATGCAAGTTGCTAATTTTTGCAACTTTTATTTTTTAAAGATTCCCAAACTATCACCATTTATCATAAATCAGCAAATACTAAATATAAAATATGTAAAAAAGTATATGATATATAAAAGACACTTTTAAAAATACATATTTTAATTATTAAATAATACTTATATGATATAAAAAACTTTTTTCATAAAATCGTTTTGTAATTTTAATGCTCTGATCTTCCTGCATACGCAATCTGTTTTCACTTAAAAAACATCAGAGAACCACACAAACCCGGCATCATGCACAACTTCAGCATTACTAATAGCACTATCACACATATCTTATTCCTTGCTTTAGCAATTTTGTAATAAAAATACTATATTTACTGATAATTTACAGTTTCATTCAATATGCCAAAAGACGGGATTTGCTCCTATTAATCATCAAATGACTGACATATGTACTGTTTCATTTTTAAATAAAATTTTAGGAGTGAACTGTCCTTTTCCTAAGCTCCCTTTCCTGATAAGTTTTTTTTTTTTTAATCTCAACAATATTCATATTTCACTGTTTAATTCCTAAATTAAAGCTTCTAAAAATGACAGAACTACATATTTCAACAATATTCATATTCCAATATTTAATTCTACATTAAAGCTGTTAAAAATAATAAAACTATATATTTGGCAAATCCATATGGTTTCTGGTATCTCAGCTTAGGTTGAACAGCTATTACAGTCACACATGAACATATATGGCATAATAAAAGACACATACTCATACAGGAGCACCTTGATATTTTATGTATAAAATCAGGTAGGAAAGTGATGAAAATGTAGCAGCACAGGATATCATAATGGGCTGGATTAAGCAATTAAAAGGGCCACATCTGCCCCACGGGTTAACTTATGCTTACCCAACATAAACAAAGATACTAGTTCAGCGAAACTGAAGAAAAGTTTACAGAAGCTGTAATAATAAGAAAATGATTTATGTAATTTTTAGATCACATATATGTTTTTCAATATATTTACTCAATATCTGTGTATATTTAACTTTTTAAAAATTATGAAACTGGTATACTTACCTACAGACAAATACTGCATGTCAACAACACGTAATGGATTATTTAATCTTTTTTCTCTTATTAATGAGCAAAATGTAGAGAATATAATCTCAACATTATCTCTAAAGATAACATCAATATCCCTTGCTCCTATTTTGAAGTTTTCACAAAATACAGTCCATGTGTTCCAATTTACAGGTGATGGATAAACAAATTTTTCGTATGGATAGCATTTTAACAAAAACGCTATTGAAAGTGTTCTCTCTGAAATAATTCAAAAATAGATATTGTTTTGATAAAATTCACACAGAAATTTCTACATATTATCAATCTATAATGGAAAAATAAAATATATAATGCAAAACTTCCATTTCTTTCACACCAAATGTTATAATTACTTACTTAAACTTATGGCTTTATTCAATAAGAAAGCTTGGATAGATTTTGGAACTTGGCTGCTGATGTTTCGCAACATACAAACATCCGATAAGAGTTTTTTGGCACATAATTCAATTAAACTGCTTATGCTTGGACTTACTATTTCATAAGAATCAAAACAATCTGTTTCCCAAACATCAGGTATTTTGTGCAATATCCTGGCTGGTTCTGCATTATAATCTATATCAAGATCAAACACACTGAATTTCTTCATTTTTTCCCCTTTCTATTTGAAGCTGAATTCACAGATGTAAATCTATAAAAAGGAACAAAGTTTTGAATTAAAATGAGACAAATTAACAAAATACTAGAAAATTAAAAAAAAAAAAAGAAATGCTTTTTTATTATAGCTATCCAACATTACACACTGAATGATTACGTTATTACGACCATCTGACAGTTTGAAGCAAATTCATTATGGCATTATATTGTTGCCACTATAGGGCTAGACTAGTATTAAAAAAAAAAGAAATTTTAGCTCCTTTAGATAGTTTACGTGAATCATTTCTGAACATATGAAGAAAAAACATCTTCTGATAAACTCAGAAAGAGGAGTATAGGAGCTTGCACATATACAACAAGTATCAGTTAAACTGCCATATTTGTGAAAAGTTCAAGAGCAGCTATAGTTAAAGTGCTTAAAGACTGGAACTTTTAGGGAAAAAAAACTGGGTTTCAATGCATAACTTGCTGTCATCTTCAACTAGTGAATGCTCTGGCGAAATGGAGAGTTTCCACACTTGTAGAAAACAATAGAATAATAAACAATGCACAAAATTGCAGCAAATCTTAATCTGGATTGTCTCAAAAGGTCTAATAAAGCATTGCACAATGCATCATATGGGTTATGGATGCCAGCCAGTTCAAACACCATTGCCGTAACCAAGACTGTGGAGTCGGTAAGGAAAATGACTGACTTCGATTCCTAGAATTTTATTAATGACTCCGACTCCTTCATATATATGTAAACATATACACACGGGTACAGCTTATTTTTTTAATATAAAAGAAGTAACAGATGCTACAGAAAAAAAATTGATGCATAGCAAATTTTTATATTAATTAGCATTTATTACAAAATGGAAAAACTGGCATTAGTAATTTCTAAGAAACAGTAAAACTTCGGCAAGATCTTCTTTGTTGGAGGACCATAGATCCAATTTGATAAACTTCAGAACTCAGAAGTGTCTTTCCACACTGATTTCAGTAGGAAAAAGAGCTGTTACTACTAGGGCTACTTCCTTTAACTTTTCAAGATAGAATTTTTTTATAAGTTCTAAAAGAGATGTCTTGCAAGAGCAATCATATTTATCTATTTCTTCAAAGGCCGTGCATGTATTTTTTCATTTTTATATCTATCTTTATATCTTGATTATTTATTTTCATTCGTTTTGCCTTTGCCTTTTTAATTTGTTTGTCATCCAACAAAATTCAGGGTTTTGGATCTACATATATTGAACCCAGCACGATCTTACTGTTTCTAGTTTATATGTCTTATTGATCTTATTGCAAACTAGTTTCTCTTTTCTTCATTGAAGAAATGATTCCTTCTGCAATAAACCCTCCATTTCAGAAAGAACAAACATCACATACTTCCAGTCTTGCCTCTTGTTAATTCTTCAGATTGTAGCTTTTTGGTGGCTATATATGGTACAGAAAGAAGAGTTTCCAATTCTGCAAGATCATTCCACAGTCTTTCTATTAATGAAACATTAGGGTTACTTATATCTTCTGAAAAAGTTCTTAATTCTAACAACCACTATATCATCAAATATGTACTTCTCCATTGTGTTGCTCCTTTTCCTGCTCATTTCCTCAGAATGGCATTTCCTCAGAATTTTGGGAGTTCTTGCTGCTATTGCTGCTTACCTAAATTGTAACTAAATGAAGCAGTTTAATCAATAATGGCAAATATCACATCTATTCTCCTCCCTTATATTTATTTATTAATATGTCAATAAAATAGAAAATAACTATTTATTAATGTATATAGTTCATAAATAAAAATATTAACTCAGTTTATCGTTAATTTTTTTTCAATTCCCTTTAAACTTCATTTCAAATTCAAACTGTTCAACAAAAACTGGAGTCGAAGTCAACGTGTTTTTTTAGCGACTCCCTAACTCCTTTTACCCAAAAATCTACCCGACTCCGTAACACGATAAAACATCTTATATTTGCTCAGGAGCACAAGAATGGGACTTTGGATAATTGGAAATAAATTATGCGATCAGATGAATCATGTTTTCAGTGTCACCATACAGATCAACAAGAGAAAATTTGGAGAAAACAGCATGAAAGCATGGATGCTAAGTGCATTGCCTTAACCATCCAAGCTGGTACAGGCAATATGATGGTTGTTTTCCTGGCATGCTTTAGACCCTTTGTGTTCAGTAAGCCTGAACCTATCATCATATATAAACATCGTTGTTGACCGAGTATATCCTACTGTAATGATAATTCATCTCAATGGTGATAGTGACTTTCAACAAGACAATGTGTCCTGCCATATAGCTGGCATTGCATGGCATTGATTTGCAAACATAAAGACTTTATTTCGCTGAGGCAGCTACCACAATCCCCAGGTCTCAATTCCATTCAGCATTTGTCAGATAATATTGAAAGAGATTTCCAGATTCACAATCATCCAATCTGGACCTCCAAGGAATTAAAGCCATTCACGAGCACAGCTGTGGAGAGGATCAGGGATTTGGTTACTGCTCCAACTCCAAAGCAGATGTAATGGATTTGGTCACGTGCTTTGCTGAGTTCTTCAGTGGACAGGTACATTTGTTTTCTCTCATGTCCTGACTTTTACGAATAGCATATAGGCCACTGTTCCTTTGCAAGGTTAGGTCTATGCAGGATTCATACACATTTCTGCACACAGAAATTAAGTACTTTTAAGGACTTTTAAGGACCATTAATGAAAAAATTAAGGACCTATGAGCAAATGGGAACTGAATAAATTCAATTAAAAATACTATTCTATGCCTGAATTTCACTTTTTGTAATACCATCCTAAAAATAAAATAGATCCCTGAGTAGTATGCATTATTATTAAACATGAATTAATTAACATAATGATTAATAAGTTTGAGAATAAAATAAACTTTATACTACAATTTATCGAGTAGGACTAAATATTTTACACTTATAATAGTTGGACATATTTGAAAGAAGATGCCATTTACTTATGTTTTACTAATAGTTAGCTTTATGTTGATTTTTTTATTTGTCTCATTTTGTTACATACTTAGTCAGTCTAGAGGTTTAGTAAATAGCAGGTAGATTTTATGTCAAATGGTATAGGTTAAAATGAGAAGTAAGACCATAATCAGCATGATTCATAACAAAAGACTGAATGTTGTCACCGCTGTTGCTTGCCTAGAGAGAGACCTGCTCATTAGAACAAACCTGAAAGGTCCGATGTAGACACAGTTGGCAAGTGTTGAAACTTAGCCAAGCTCTGTTTGATGCAGTTTGTGTCATAGCTTTGTGTAGAATTCCAAGGGATTGTAGCCCAGTTAATATACTTTAATGTTCCAATAAGCGATTAAAGTACCAGAGATGATAAGTTGTTTTGTATTATTTTTAAGTTTCACTAGATGCAAAGAATAAGTTACTTTAATTTTAAAATTTTTGTGTTTTATCTTGTGACCACAGTAAGTGTTAATGAAAGGCAATAACTCGCTTTAATATGTAGAAATAACTTTTAAGGGTAAGTAGTTAGTTATAAATAATTAAATTAGGTAATTAGATAACCTTAGTCATTATGGATTTACATGGCCACTATTAAATTATATTTTTTAACAATATCTGTTAAAAAAGCCTATTAAAATCAAAATCTAAATAAAATTTCACAGTTTAAAATACATGTAATTTATGACATTGATTCTTAAACGGTATTAGGATACACATTAAAAGCTACAAAACATTTATGTTTTGTAACAACACTCAACAAAATATTTATCCTTCATTTTAATTTGAAGCCTTTCCAAACATTTTGGCTAGTTTATATCGATTTCCTTCTCTTTAATCATCTTTTCTAACAATTAGAAAGTTGTCTCAATATGCAAACCAATGCTCTCGCTAGTTTCTGCGTGCTTATCTCCTAACTTATCAACATCTCCACAAGGTACCTATGAGGGTTTACTTGATCTGGTAAAAGTTAAATAGTCCCAACCCCCCCCCCTGACTGAATCATAAACCAAAAGGCTGAAATTATAAACAATTGGCTAAGTTAGATAATAATAACTGCACATATCTTTGAGGAGTAATTTTCTTTATGTATTCAGTTTCTTTCTTCAACATGGTTCCTTTTCATTTTATAATTTTTGGATCTAATTATTTCTGTTATTCTAAAAAACACTAAATGCATTTAGAATGTATAGAAAAAGTGGCTAATTCTATTTCTTTAGTAATATGAACATTCAGAAGAAATATGAAATATATATGGTAAAGCCCGGTTACAAAGCTGGTGTGGCAGAATTTTTAGAATTTAGTGACACACCGAACAACAAAATCTAGAAATAGCAAAACGTTTAGAATTTAGGATCCACAGAGATTGCATCAGGTGGGAAAATGCCTAGTGCCAGCTCTGTGTATGCTGCATTAAGGCATATTAGATGAATCTTTTAAATTGTAAGTTTTCAATTTCTTTATTAATAAAAAAAATCGATTTCTATAATGCCTGCCCAGTGATAAGATTAGAAGGCACTTTTGTTATTTTTGATGCTTGTGTCTAGTGAAAAGTAGAGAAAATAAAGGGAAGATAAATATGTTAAGAAAAAGATTCTAGTATCAGATGTAAAACATTTAAATATTATGTTTTCATTGTTCTTCCAGACGTTCTCCAAAAGGTAAGAAATTCATCGCAAACTTTCTGTAAAATACATCCATTACGTGTCGATATCAAGGAGACATTTTTCATTTTCTCACATATTTCTCGAATCTTCTAGAATCATGGGTCTATAAATCTTGATACAAACCATTCTAAACTTTCCACGCTGCAATGTCTAAAATACTAAAGAAAAATTATTCCTACCAATTCTGTAACAGCAAAAAGTCAGAAATATTTTGAAAAAAAAAGGAGGAGAGAAAAAGTGTAAAATTAATTTTTTAGAGAAAACTGATGCATATTCTGAGAATTTTGAATATTTCAAGACAATTGCATGGGAAAAACGCTTACTATGAAAAAATTAAAAAGAAGACATTTTGGTTGATCTTTACATTATGGTAACTTGGCGATTTTTTGGCGAAAATTTGGCAACCAACTCTCCTACAGCAACCCTCTATTTTTTTTTCCCCGCCGCCATTTTGTTTTCACGAAGTAAAGACATGTTTCCTTTCTTTTTATCTACTGAACACTTCTTCCAACAATCTACTAGCCGAATTACACTTATGCTAGAAATTTTATCAAACAAAACTGCTTAATCATGACAAATATTCACTGCAAAATTGGGAAAAAGTGCACAATACCATACTCCTTACGCGTTTTTCAAAATAACACATACACTAAAACCATGTACACGCCGACTTATTTTTACTTAAAAAAAAAACATCCCAGAATTGCACAAAAATGGCATTGCGCACACTCTTCACTATATCCATGTACACTGCTTTTTTTTCTCATAAATTAGAAAAATTTCACGAAAATACATGACAATTTTCTCAATCTTTAAACCCGGTAAAAAGAACATATATGAAATTACCTGATCGCAAAAAAGTATTTACCCTTTACAAATATGAACATTTCCACATATAAAATAAATAAAATATCCAAAAACTTTTACCTCTAAATCATGTATTACATTATACACGTCACCAACGAATTCATACCGCAAGCATTACAAATACTTAGTATCAAATATTTAAATTATTTCCATGCACGTTTACTTCAACTTAAACGCATACCAAATTCCTACAAACATAAAATTCACAAAATAACTATAAATTCAAAAACACTACTTAAAATATAAATGAGCACATACATTAAATTAATAAAAATTACCTTACAATCCTAATTACTTTAAACTAAATCATTGCTAATAACAATTTTCCCAATAATACCAAATTCCTTTCCACCTTACATTTAGAACAATGCATAAAAATAAAATCCTCAAATAATTAAAAATACTAACTTACCTAATCTTCTTCAGAATCTTGATTACGTGTCCGATAAACTTTTCTTATTTCATCCGCTAAATAAAAAGCAAGCGTATGTGCGCCTGTTTCAGGATCTTTAAAATCATACTTATAGTTCACAGCAAGGTACCAAGTAAAATAAATAACTTAATAAAACTCGCGAAACAAACTAAACTTCTATCTCGCACAACCTTAAAGAAACACTTATTACTACCCCTTTCAATCCCACTAAATACCCATTTCGAATTCACTTTAGTTAGGGCCATGGGATCCAAAAATTAACGAACACTGTTTCACACAACACAGAATAAAGCCAAATACAAAATTTCCAGATATTTTTTCCCGATTTCCCCCCTTTTCCAATTAAAGAACCGTAATTCGTCCATTAATATCACTTGACATATCCCAAGTATTTACTGCTCACATTACCAAAGTCCCACGTAGTAACCTTTATCGCCTCCAAAATGTCGCCAAACTACCAGTTACCATATTCTAAAGATCAGCTGCAAGTCGAATCTTAAAATTATATGCAGTTTGAAAAATGCTTCCTTTTATAAAATATTCAAAAAAGGGCACAGCTTTAGTATAGCCCACCTGGAATTTTAAACAAAAAAATATCACCAAGAGCGGCGATAAATGATATGATCTGGTAACCCATACTATTCGCCAAACGCAATGTAAACAAGAGGATGGAATTACGGTTACAGCTAATTTAGTAGTCAGTCACATTTATTCAATTTCGATACAAATTACCGACATATCCGTTTACTCAAAGTTTAATGCACGTGCCCTGTATTCTTACTTTTCCGGTATAGATTTCTCTTAAAATTTGTCTCACGCTGCGTTGCAGGAGGAAATACAACATTTTAAATTAGAATTCTACTAAAATTAATATCTAAATACACACAATTCGTAACACTGTTATTGGCGATTGTTTAACGCTCAGATACCGTGAATACTATTTTTGTATATATATTTTTGGCTACTTGAGGTGATATTTTTGCGTTTAGTTATTGCTTGCTCTAAAAAAACTGCTGTTAGTGATGTTGTAATTAAATATCAGGAGATTATAAAGGAAAATTTAAGGTGGGAGTTTTCAAACAAGCGTAAAATTTTGGGAACAGATATTTATGTATGAATTAACAATAGAGTATGAACTTTTTAGAGGATTTTTGATGGATTGTCGATTATTATTGAAGGATAACGTTTTCTGTGAAAAATGTAAGATACCATGCTGGTTAGTTAGTCAGAAAAAGTCATCGAATGGTAGTATTTGCAAGAAATGTACGGCTGAGAAATCAATTAGGCTAGGATCTTGATTCGCCTGTAGTAAGCTCAATTTTTCTAGAAACTTTTTTTTTTTTTTTTTTTTTCCCAACGCGAATCAATGGAGTTGCTTATGCGCGAATTTCTGCAATTCTCCGATTTCTTTTAAGTGAAAGCAGATTTCTTAGTATATGAGCAATGCAGAGTTTATTCAATTTCTGATTTTTAAGTAAAAAGAGATCGCTATATACATGGGCAAAGCCAATGCAGTGCGCAATGCCGAGGTTGTGCGCGGTGCCTAGTTTGTGCAATTCTAGGATGTTTTTTTTAAGTGAAAATAGATCGATGTGTACATGGGCAAAGCCAATGTAGTGCGCAATGCCGAGGTTGTGCGCGGTGCCTAGTTTGTGCAATTCTAGGATGTTTTTTAAGTGAAAATAGATCGATGTGTACATGGGCAGAGCCAATGTAGTGCGCAATGCCGAGGTTGTGCGCGGTGCCTAGTTTGTGCAATTCTAGGATGTTTTTTTTTAAGTGAAAATAGATCGATGTGTACATGGGCAAAGCCAATGTAGTGCGCAATGCCGAGGTTGTGCGCGGTGCCTAGTTTGTGCAATTCTAGGATTTTTTTAAGTGAAAATAGATCGATGTGTACATGGGCAAAGCCAATGTAGTGCGCAATGCCGAGGTTGTGCGCGGTGCCTAGTTTGTGCAATTCTAGGATGTTTTTTTAAGTGAAAATAGATCGATGTGTACATGGGCAAAGCCAATGTAGTGCGCAATGCCGAGGTTGTGCGCGGTGCCTAGTTTGTGCAATTCTAGGATGTTTTTTAAGTGAAAATAGATCGATGTGTACATGGGCAAAGCCAATGTAGTGCGCAATGCCGAGGTTGTGCGCGGCGCCTAGTTTGTGCAATTATAGGATGTTTTTTTAAGTGAAAATAGATCGATGTGTACATGGGCAGAGCCAATGTAGTGCGCAATGCCGAGGTTGTGCAATTCTCTGATATTTTTAAGGTGGAAATAGATGGATGTGTACATGGACACCGAGCTTTGATGTTTTTCGGGCGAATACGGATCGTTGTGTACAAAGGAAAACGAGATAATGTGTGATGACGAGCTGTAATGTAACGTATTTTATATGCAATGTTTAACATATCGTTTGTGTATTTTAAATTTGTATTGTTGTTTTAATTGTGAATTATATTTAAGACATCATTTTTCATTTAAATTGTATTTTAATGTTTTGGTTTTGATATGTTTATAATGCTTTCCGACTTACGATACATATCGATAGCCCGACGATCTACTCAACAGTAGCAAAACTGTAAACTTTGACCCTATAAGTAACTTTTACCTCATTATTATAATACGTAGTGTTTGCAATCGTAATCGCACTTGATAATATGAGTTCGTATTAAAAGCAAAATATGCCCAACAAATACTGACTGAGTGGTCATAATAAACTGCCCACTCAGTGTAAATGCGAATTTTAAAGTAATTTTAATGTATGCTATGGTACTTTTGTACTAGTGCAACTACCTCTGCGGTATGTACCGATTTTTAATAGAAGAATGGCAACATGAAAGAGTTTAAATACTGTTATGGTTTTTGTATTGATTTATTTAATTTGCTATTTTCAAAAGCATTCCTATTAAATTGTTTCATTTCCTCGTGCAATGTTGCACGTGACTTATTTGAAGAGAAATCTATGTCAAAAAATTTAAAAATGCAGGAGCATGCACAAAATATAAGACTACACTCATGCTGATTAGAAAGCTTATAAAAACCAGAGAAAGATCACCTCAGCTCAGTTGTTTTATGAGTTTGTTTAGAAAACTGTTCTTGTTTACTGTAGCGAATTCGCGGTGAAATCGGATTAGCTTTCCGTGCAGTTAATTCAGTTCTGTTGAATGTTTGAGCAGTTTAAAAGATAACTACTGTGAGATATTGCAATACTGTAGGCATATCTGTGGAAATTTAAGCACTTTGTTTTATTTGTTGTGATAATAAAAAATTTTAATCATTTTTCATAGGACTTGTGCATTCAATTCATAACGAACTCGTACGTACGCAACACCTTTTGGTGTCAGAGGCGGGATTTTGAATGCCAATCACAAGAGCGATGGAAGAGCAGTTGAGACAGCTCATCACTGCTTTTGCTGCATTCCAAGAAAAGATGGAAGCCTGCCAAGCATCCTTTAAAGAACAGTTTAAAGCGGTACAGGAGTCCGTTAAAGAATGGAAGTGGTTCAAGAAAAGATGGAAGCTAATTAAAGAAAATAAAAAAAGAAATGCTTATTTTTCTAAAAAAAATGCTTATGTTTCCAAGAGGAAATAAAAAAAGAAATCTCCTGCATAATACAAAACAAATTTGAGGCTATGGAAGGTAGAATAGACTCAGTTGAAAGTAAGGTTGGAGAAATAGAAGGCAGAGTTTTTGCTGTGGAGCAATGAATTGAAGGAAGAGTTTCTGCCGTCCAACACCAAATTGATAACAGAGTTTCTGCAGTGGCAGGAAAAGTTGATACTCTAAAGAAATTCATAGCGACAGCAGGCAGCAATTCTGATGGATTTAAACTTTTACCCATGCCCTGCTCGTCCCTCCCTGAGGTTATCCACATATGATGGGAAGACTTCTTGGCAAGTGTATAAGATGCAATTTTCAATAGTGAAAAAGTAAACAACAAACTGGTTCTAAAGTGTTGGAAATGTGGTACTGAAGGCCATATGCAACAGCATTGCAGAATGCTCCAGGGCACGGAAAATAAAACAGATGATTTTACAAGACCAGTCAGTGCCTTGAGATGGAATAAGAATGAAAAGCTACCAATCCTAAAAAGCTGGAACTTCGGTGTTGAAGGCCACATACGAAGGAACTACAGAACACCCTAGCGCATGGAAAATGAGACAGACGAGTTAAACAGACAATTAAATGCCATGAGACAAAAAAGGAGTGACCAGAAACAAAAGTGATGGAACTGCGAAACAACCCGGGGTACCAAAATAAGATCATTTCCCTGCAACGATGCAAGAAACTAATTAATGACCATATTGAGGAGGGGGAGTTGCCAGATAACGAAAAGCCCTGTTTTAAAGCACTCAAGATTTCTGTGGTGAGTGGCAACAATAACGGACTGTCCATCAATGGGAATATCAATATTCCTTGCAATATGACCGCTGACACAGGAGCCAATGTTACCGTCACTTGGAAAGATTTAGCTCAACAATTTAAGGATAAACTCATTTGGACACCATCCCGTGTTACCCTTCAGACTGCGTCTGGTGCAATAAAATCGACATAGATGGGAAGTTAAACGTGAGCATCACGTTTGGAAGTGCCGCCTACCATCATATGACATATGTGGTGGATATTACAGATCCTTGCATACTCAGATAGGACATTTTAAGGAAATACAATTTTTTCTTAGACTTCAAAAATAACAATTGCTTTCAGATTCAGAGGGCATGGCTATCCATCCTCAGAAGGGATCCTCAACTGGAAACGCTGAATCCTTGTCTTGAAGGACCTATTCAGAAAGCTGCCGAAATCATGCTAGGGTCGAAGAGAACCACAAGCCTACAATGAAAGCAAAAGATAATATAAAATTATTTCACCAGGTTGGTGTCAAGCAGATGAGTTATTCAGTAGGTTAAAATTCTCAATGTTTTGATTTGAGATGCATGCCAAGCTAAAAGGTTGCTACAAATTATTGATCAGACCATGATCACTTTTAGATTTATGGCAATAAATGATTTGTGTTCTTCAACATAGAGCTATTTTATTTAGCAACAA